CCGGGCGCGCCGCCGACGGGGAGGGGCGGGGCCGGAAGGGGCGGCCTTCCGGAGTCGTCGGGGCGGCTGGACTTCGTCCTCCGGTTTTCGCCAACAGCCTCTCGTTCTCCGTAGGCATTCTGGTGGGCTGGCCGGGGTGGAGAAGGAACCCTGACCTCTAACCCCGGACACACATCGATTCCTCGGCCTTCGCAGAAGGCGGACCCCGACTTGCGTCCTAGGGCGGTGCCTCGGTTGGGGGGTGTGCCCGGCGGGGGGAGTGGGGCCGGCCTGTGGCGGTGCTCCGGTTATGGGGGTGCCCGGTTAGGGGGAATGCCCTAGCTGGGCGTTGCTCTGGTTAGGGGGAATGCCCTAGTGGGGGGGGGGTTCCGGTTATGGGGGTGCCCGGTTAGGGGGAATGCCCTACCTGGGGGTTGCTCCGGTTAGGGGGAATGCCCTAGCTGGGGAGGTGTTCCGGTTATGGGGGTGCTCGGTTAGGGGGAATGCCTTATATGGGGAGTGCTCCGGTTATGGGGGTGCCCGGTGAGGAGGAATGCCGTAGCTGGAGGTTGCTCCGGTTAGGGGGAATGCATTAGCTCGGGGGGGTGTTCCGGTTAGGGGGGTGCCCGGTTAGGGGGAATGCCGTAGCTGGGGGTTGCTCCGGTTATGGGGGTACTCGGCTGGGGGCGTGCTCCAGCTGGGAGCATGGGTATGCCTGCTGGGGACAACGTCCTGATTGAGAAGGCTGCCCTGAGCGGGACGAAGGGAATGTCCCAAAGGGGAGGATTGCCCCAACTTGGGAAGATGTGTCAACAGGAATGGTTGCCTCCGTTGGGGATGCTCCGGGTAGGGGAGGTGCCCCAGGTCGGGAGTGCTCCAGCCAGGAGGCATGTCCAGATTGTGGGAGAGGATGCTCTGATTAGGGAAGGTGCCCCACTAGGAGAGTATGCCCTGGCTGGGGACAGTGTCCTGACTGGGAAGGCTGAGGGTGGGGTGGGGAATGTCCCAATAGGGAGGAGTCCCCCCATCGGGGCGTGCTCCACTTAAGAGGTGTGCCCCGGCTAGGCAGCCTCCTTGATCACCCCAAGCTCCCTGCCTCCCACCCAGTTATGCACAGGGCAAGACCTTGCCTGCCGACCAAGCAGCATTCACTGGACAGCAGCACATAAGTTGGCTTAGGCCACCCGCTCCCCATGGCCAGACCTGTTTCTCCATCCCCTGAGAGTTGAGGAAAGAAGCACATCCTGAAATTGGGGTTCTCGGGCCAGTGTTCGCAACAAGAACTGAAGAGGCCTTGACTGGAAGGCTAATCTGCCCCTCCCCTCCGCCCCCATGAGGGCTCAATCTCATGGGAGACAGACTCCAGGAAAATTACTCCACTAAGTTGGGTACTGACGATGCACACAGGTGCAGAGGAGGAAGTGGACGACCCGAGTACCAAGGAAACCTTCCCAGGTTTCTTTGGGACAGCCGAAGTCAGCTCATGACAGGCCAGTGACCCCAAGCTGTCTGGAGCCTCGGGACAGGCGGCCCAGTAGGAGTTGCCCTCTGTGGCCTGCACGGCGTGATCTGACCTGCCTTCACCTACACCTTCCTCTCTGGCACCATCCGTTCTACCTCCATTCCTGCCTTGGGCCTTAGGGTGTCCCTTTTTCTCTCAAGTATCTGTGTGGCTCACTTCTCTACCGTCCTTCCATCTTAAATACCACCTCTTCACAGGCTTCCCTTGCCTCCCTACTTTAAAATGCTACACCCCAGAACCTCCTTGCCTAGTTTTATTCCATGACCCTCCATCGCTTTGGTGTCTGTCTTCCGCACCAGAATGTAAGGGGGTTTTGTTTTGTGTTCCCTAGTGCCAAGAACAATGCTTGGCGTGCAGGAGACACAATAAATAGTTGTTGAATGAATAAATGAGTTTAGACGTGGAGAAAGATCCTTTACCAGGCAAATAGCGTCAGTGGGTGAATGTGCCAGAAGTAGGCTACGCCCCCATTTTGCACCTTCAGCCTGACTTGCGCTACCCTTGTGTGATCACTGATCACTCATGTCAGGTGCTGTTCTCAGCATGAGGTGTTAACTCTAACCATCATGTCTGCCCTGAGAGGTGGACACTGTTCTTATCCACATTCTGTACCTGAACAAACCGAAGCAAGGGAGTGCTTTCAAGGCCACGTCACTGTTGAGAGGCAGAGACGGGACTCGAACCTAGGCAGATTTTCCTTTCAACAATGAGGCTACAGGTTCTAGGTACATGGTTGCCTGGTTAAAGAGCACATTTCCAACTGAAGGGGTAGCCAGTGGGATGTGTGCAAGTGATACAATCTACTTCCCAGCCTGCCCCCCAAGAAGTTGGGAGGTGCAGACCCAATAAGCTGGGTGACGGTGAAAACTGGAACAGCTGCCCTGGATGGAGGCGTGGAAACCACAACTGGAGAATGACAGCTATGCCATGAGGCCCAAATCTTCCACCTCTGAACTATTAAATGTACAAGAAAGCAACTTACGTTATTGGAGGAAGGGGGACCACCTTGACCTGTCGCCTTATAGTCATGAATTTCCTATAGATAAGGTAATTGAGACACCTAGCCAAAGTTACCCTTGCACCATATGGCAGAGCTGGAATTTGAACCCAAAGTGTTATCTTAACTCCCCCTCCGGTGTTGCCCAAAGCACGTTCCAGGACCAACGGCCAGTAGGGGGTTTTTACGGGCTCTCCCCTCAGCACTGGAACATCTGCAGGATGTTCCTTTGGGAATCGTTGCTCTGCAGAACCCTGACTTTTTAGTTGCTCTTGGGTTCCTTGGGTCCTAGACGACAGTCCTTTGACACATAGACCTCAGGACCGGGCTTGTGTGCTGGCATTCGGATGGGAGACAAGCAGCAGCATCCCTCAGGGCCAGACATGGCAGTGGTGCCAGCTGGGACCTGAGACTTGAGGCTAAGGGTAAGGGAATTCCACGGGGGAGGGGACTTGGGCAAGCCCTCCTCCTCACCCCCGACAGGATTTCCTCTGGTGCAGAAACTGCACTGAACGACGGATGCAGGACGGGCGAGCCCAAGGCGTGCGTTAAGGAAATCGTTGGGGGAGGGGGGGTCTTCTCCCCGCGTCAGAAGTACATTTTAAATCAATGCCAAGGCTCCAGACACACAAGCCTGGCTTCCAGGGCGCATCCTTAACCAGAACCGGGAGGCCAAGCACCAGCCCAGGCCCTGGATTAAAGGGAAGCAACACAGGTGCAACTCCTCGGCCTCGAGCACACCCGTAGACCTGCCTTCCCACCCAAGACATCTCAAAAGAGGAGAGGCCCAGTGCCGAGGAGAGGGTGCGTGTGCCAGGGGCCGGGAGAGGGGACCGACGAGAGGGGTGTGCGCGCCCAGGAGGGGAGCCAGGCGAGGCGACGCCCCCTGAGTTCGGCCATCTGCGCACCCAGCAGGAAGAGGGCTCCCAAGAAGCCGGCCTGTACCCAGCTCTACAAATGAAGCGCTTTATTTACAGAGCGTCTCTCCAGGCCCCAGCCCCTCGCCCAGGCAAGGCCTAGTGCAGGGAGCCGCAGAGGCTGGTCTGGAGGCGGAGGGAGCGGCCAGCAGCGGAGGGTCCTGAGTGGGCCGGGCCAGGCCGGGAGCAAAGGCACGAGGCCCTGGGCGCCCAGTCCCAGGGCAGAGGTCAGCCTGCCTGGAGAAGGCGGCATGGGGCGAGCTCCCAAGGGTCAGCTCCCAGGGGTCAGGCCGGGGTCCGCACCTCCGCAGCTCTGCTCATAGGACGGCGGGGCCTCTGCGGGGAGAGAGCAAGGTCTGCATGGGGCCAGCGGCGCTCCCTGCCCCACCAGGCCCCAGGTCCCCACTCACCACAGGGGTAGCCCCAGGAGCTGTACTCTGGCGGCAGGATCAAGGTACTGGTGGTGGGCACCGGCCCCCCGGAGCCCTCTGCAAAGTAGGGGACGGTGGCACCTGTGGAGATGCACAAGGGAGGGGGCAAAGAGTGGGGGGCAGGGCTGCCATCCTGAGCATGTGGTTCAGGGGCGCCAGGCACAGAGCCGAAGGCGGCAGGCGGTGGCTGCTGCTGTGAGTGGCTCTTGGTGAAGAGGGAGATGGGGTCCTCGAGGTGGGGGCCACTGGCCACAGCCTCATCCTCCTCCTGGGGGGGTGCTGAGGGCATCACTGGGGACAGGGCCCCAGGAGGAGGACATGGGCCTGGCTGGGGGCTCAGCGGAACATGGTTCACAGGGATATTGCCGATGAAGACCGGGAGGGTCACTGTGGCTTCCGGCACCTTCAGGGAGACCTGGGGAGGAGGGGGTGTGAGTGGCCAGGCTGCCGGCACCCCTCCCCCACCTCTCCCTCCACCCCCAGCACCTGCAAGTAGTAGTCAACGTGGATGAGGCTGCAGCCGGGCAGGGCCGACTGCGGCAGGGCGGGCACTAGGATCTGCTCTCGCCACTGCGCCCGCCTCCAGGCCTTGACGCCCGCACCCTCCACCTCTGCAATGGTCCGCACATCGTAGATCCAGCGCTTGGCCTTATAGGACACTTTCTGGGGAAGGGCCAGCCTGTGAGCCTGGGCAGGCCGGCCCCCTAACCCTCCTCCAGCCCCATGAGGACAGGCCTAGGCAGCCAGAGGGAACTCTGACCTGCAGCAGACTGGCCACCACAGGGCTAGTGTCCTTTCCCGACTGGTTCTCAATGTCGGCCTGCAGCCGCAGCACCTGCCCCACCACGTAGCCGCGGAGGTCGGTGCTGGCAGTGAGGACCACGCTGCCCGTCTTCACCAGCTTGTAGGAGAACTTCTTTGTGGTAAAGGCCACATTGGGTTGCTTGGGGGATAAAGCAGGAAGGGGGTTGGTGAGTGTGGGCAGGCTGGGTCCCTGGACAAGCCCACTCAGCCCTGCCACACACTCCCCCTGGACACAGCACAGTCAGCTCAGGACAGACAGGCTGCTGCTATTCTAGACCCTGGCCACCTCACCTCGGCTGGGGATGGGCCAGTGGGGCAAAGGTGCAGCCACCCAGGAGGCCACTGTCCCGTCCTCACCTCGATGTCTGGGATGCTGTTCAGGTTCAGGGGGCTCAAGATGTAGAACACGCGGCTACACTGGTGATCCTTAGAGAAACGTGGCGTGTCAATGGTGGCCCGCACCTGGTGCACAATCTTCCCAAAAGGGCCCTCGAAGGACGTGGGCGCTGTGGCTGCAAAGAGAGCAGGGACTGGCACCCAACTGCCACCACCTCACCTCCCACTCACCCGCACACCAACTGTCCCCACCAGGCCTGGCCAGGCTGGGCTCTCACCAGGCAGCAGGAACTGGAAGGGGAAGTTGTGCTCTCCAGCAGGCAGGCTCCCTGTAGAGACAGGAGGGAGGTGTGGGGGGAGGGGACTCAGGAGCACCACAGGGCTGGGGACAGAAGCAGGCACTGCAGCTGACCAGCTCACACTGTGTCTGGCTGCTGGGTCTCCCAGCCTCTGTCTCCAGCGCCACGGCAGCACGGGACTGTGGCCTGGGCAAAGGACAGGGGACAAGAGCTTGGCCTGAACAGGGGCCGGGGCAGGGCTGTTCCAGGGGCTGGAGCCCACCCAAATCCAGCACCAGGAGAAGCTGGCCTCCCTCAGCCACCCAGCCCCTATCAGGCGATGCCCCGTGCCTGCCAGGGAGAGATATTCATCAGGTGCACAGCCCTGGGAGAGGATGGGCCAGCACAGACTGGGAGGTGGGGTGGACAGCCAGGCTGCACTCTCCAACAAGGGCTGTATGGGATGAGGCGAGGGGGGGCTCCCAGACTCACCCCTGTCGGCCAGCGACAGAGCGCTGTTGAAGTAGCCCTCCTCCGCCACCCACGCTGCATCATTGGCCTTGTTTGAGACCCTGCAGGAACCCGTGCAGGTCACTCGGATGGCTGCGAAGGGTGGGTGGTGTGAGCCTGGCCACCCACTGGCCTGGGCCCGTCCCTGCCTCCAGCACAGAGGTTCAGGCAGGGCTGGCAGCACCTAGGCACCAGGCAGCCCCACCTGACTGGGCCCTGGGAAGGCCAGCAAGCGGCCTGCTGACCCTCAGAGGACACCTCCTGCCCACTCCCCACCTTGGGGTGCTCCCAGGGAGCCAGGATGGCGAGGCACAGAGTTACATCTGTCCTACAGTTCAGAACAACAGGGCCCCAGTGGTCACCCAGATGAGCCCTGGGCATCCCCCAACCCGGTAAGCTTGGCTCCCAGCCCACCTTGGGCCCAGCAGACCTGTGAAAACCCAGCTCCCTAGAGGAGATGCTTGGGACACCGATGATGAACAGAGGCCTGTGGGGCAGCTGACCTCTGACCCCACCTTTGTGCTGCTGCCAGGCAAGTCAGTCAGGCTAGAAGGCAGCCCTTCCCACTCCAGGAAGCTAACTGCTAGCACTCATGCTGCAGGAATGTGGTCAGACCTGTCTGAGCAGATAAGGCACCCAACAGTCTGGCACACTGGAGGGTGGGGACACCCTTGACTTCCTGGGCCAGTACTTCCCAGGAGGGCTGATTTTCTGCTTCAAGAGATGGCTTGGTCCTCCCCCCGCTCCCCAGACCAGGAACTGTTGGCCATAGAGGTTGCTGCCACTGTTCTGCAGTCAGGAACTCGAATTCCTCAGTCCAACAGACGTGTGCCCAGAGCCCACTATGGGCAGAAGGCCACGGCTGGACAACAAGGGAGGACACCACAGCTGGAGACCCAAGTAGGAAGGGGGCGGGAGCTCAGTGACAGGCAGCCCTGCGGCCCCATCCCTCCTTTCCTGCAGAGCTGAGTCAACGCCCAAGACCAGCTCCCCACCCGGCCCCTCTTCTCCTTCCCCAGACTTGGCCAGCTCCCTGCCCAGCCCCTCTTCTCCTCCCAGACTTGATGGTCAGGCAAGTGACATGACTCAGAATCTGATGCACTCCTGACAGAGCCATCAGGCAGGAAGGACCTGTGTCCCAAGTGCCCAGGGCCAGGGTCAGCCACACCAGCCATGTTCCAGTCTCTCCAGGCTGGCCCACCTTGCTGACGCAGGCCTCCTGGTGGTCACCCACAGCGTACCAGGCTTCCCTGCCCACGAACCCTTGGCGCATCTTCCACCCATCAGCACTGCCAGTGACCGGCCCTCGGCCTCCGTGCCAGCCTAGCCTCATCGCCCAGACCTCAGCCCCGAATTCTAATCCACGCTCTGTCAGCCATCCCCTCCTAGGGCCAGACCTGGAATTGTTCCCACCCCAGAAATCTGGGACACCAGTGGTACTCCTACCGACCAACACAGCCCAACAGAAACACATGGGGCAGTGAACCGACAGACAAGGAGACATGACCCTGATTCCAGATGCTACACTGCTTTAACACTTCCTCTGGGGAGGGTGCATCCCCCCTGGAATCAGCTGCCCTGTGAACGCCGGGCAGACCAACAGAGAATGCCGGAAGGGGCGCAGTGGTCCCCAGACAGGCCCGGTGCCAGCCAATGCTGTCAGGTGACCCCAGTGGATGGCAATGGAGCTGAAGAATCGCCCTGCCCACCTCTGTCCGAGTTCCTAACCACAACGCCATGAGATAGAATGAAACGACTTAGTTTAGGGGTGATTTGTTTCCTAGGGGTGACTTACATTGCAGCAGATAACAGGAACAGATGTCCAACATCACTAGGAATCAAGGAAGCTCAGATGAGTTACCATCTTAACCCATCAGATTGGCAAACATTAAATATTTTGACATGTGTTGGAGAGGAGGTGGAAAAACAGACACTCCCTTACAATGATCAAACTGTGGGCTGATATGGGGCCCTGGAGAAGGAGGCAGACCTGATGCAACTTGACATGCAATACCTGGAGACCAGCAGCTCTCCTTAGAATCTCACCCTACTCACCCAGGAGCCTCGAGCAACACTGCTCAGAACAGCAAACAGCAGAGGCAGAGCCAACGTGTCCACAGCATGGTGGCTGAACCAGTCACCCACCCAGCCTGGACCTGGCCCCCAGAATTCAGGTGAACAAGCCATGGGGCATCTGACCCCAGAAAAAGAAACAGTATAGGGCCAGCCCCAGTGGCCTAGTGGTTAAGTTTGGCACGCTCCACTTCAGCGGCCTGGGTTTGATTCCTGGGCCTGGACTTAGACCACTCGTCTATCAGCGGCCATGCTGTGATGGCGGCTCATATGAAAATAGAGGAAGATTGGCAACAGATGTTAGCTCAGGGCGAGTCTTCCTCAGCAAAAAGAAAAAAATTCTCAAACTGACTCTTGGGTTATCCCAGAGGGTCCCAAGCTCTGTGACCTTCCCAATGCCCAAGCAGAGCCCCTTTTTGCACACACGCTGAGGCCCCTTCAGGGACCCTGCTTCAAGGAGCAGCCTCCAGTCACCGTCTTGGAGTCAAACCTTCCTGTTCCTGTCCACTCTCTCCTCCGCAGGGAAACAACGGAGGCGCAGGGGAAGGACACACACAGCAGGCCCGTCCCTCCTACCCCAGGCAGGGGGGATCTGCTCCTGGAGGTGAGCATGACCATCGCACCAGCGTGTGTGCCCTGTGGCAGGGCCACAGGACTAGGGCAGGTCTGTTCTGGCAGGTGCAGCCTCCACTGAACGGCACTGAGCGCAGGCTGCAGAACAACATTCCATGCTGTGCCAGCTAGGTTTAAAAAGCATTTTAGATCTAACAGTGTTCGGACGCATAATGAAAGGCAGGCACTGAACTGACGGGCATCCGTCTTCGGAGGTCTAGGGCTGCTCTGGTTCTCTAAAGAAAATCATCATGTGCACTGTGCTCCAGATGACTTCCAGAAATTTCCTCTCAAGCCAGCACTCCCACCTGTTCAGCAGCCCTCCTGCCTTGTACCACCTGCCACCTGACCACGAAGACCTCTGCCGGCTCCTCATCCTGGTTCCAAAGGTCCCTCACCTGCACCACCCTCAGCCAACTCCCACAAACCTGGGGCAGCCTGGCCTTGGCCATATTCTTCCACTGAAGCTCTGTCCTGTTTCCAAATCTGCAACATGAGAATAATAACAGCACCCACCTCCCAAGGTTGCTATGAGGATTCATGGAGTTGGTCCATGGGAGGTGGGGAGAATGGCACCTGACCCACGATGAGAGTTCAGGGAGCGGGCTGCTGCCGTTGTCTGGCACCACCCTCACTCACTGCCCACCTCGAGAGCAGAATACAGGGCAGCCCTGCCTGACCCCCAACCCCGTGCTGGGCTGGACCTGGGCTCTAGGAAACGGCTCCTTCCCCAGATTTCTTCCACATCAGCTCCCGAGGCAGCCAGAGCCCTCATAGCCGAGTGCAGATCACCACTGCCACCCCTCAGACAGGTACTGCGTGGGCAAGCCTGGAAGCCCCCCACGGCTTCCTCTGTGCCCTCCTCAGGGTGGAGAGCCTCCCCCTTGCATCACTGGCTGGTGGCGGGAGCTCAACAGGTATCTTTTTTTTTTTTAAGCTGAATAAAATATTATTATTATGTATTTAAATTCAAAGTTGAGGGCCGGGCCGGCCCTGTGGCTTGGTGGTTAAGTGTGCGCGCTGCGATGCTGGTGGCCCGGGTTCGGATCCCGGGTGCGCATCGAGGCACCGCTTCTCCGTTCATCCTGAGGCCGAGTCCCACATACAG